CTATAAGAAATAAATTTCTTTTTAAAAATAAATTATCAGTCTCATATATTCTGACATAAGCAATTAAAAAAGGGTCTGAGACAAGGCCTTATCACCAAGTACGGTCACATTCTGAGGTCCTGGGGATTAAAACCTCAACATACAGGTTGTGGGGGAGACACAATGAAGCCCACAATAAAAGGATAATTCAGAGAAATTATTTCTAATAAGTAACTTGGAAAAATATGAAGCCCACACAAGGAAGAAAATCCAAGTTAATTCTTAATAATATTCTTTCCAATATATATGCTGAAGGACCTAGGGACATGCTGATATAGTTTGACTGTGTCTCCACTCAAATCTCATCTTGAATTGTAGCTCCCTCCATAATTCCCACAAGTCATGGGAGGGACCCGGCGGGAGGTAATTGAATCATGAAGACTGGTCTTTCCTGTGCTGTTCTCATGATAGTGAATAAGTCACATAAGATCTGATGGTTTTATAAAAATGGGAGTTCCCCTGGGCAAGCTCTCTTGCCTTGCCTGCCACCACGTAAGACATGTCTTGCTTCCCTTTTGCCCTCCGCCATGATTGTGAGACCTCCCCAACTATACGGAACTGTGAGTCAATTAAACCTCTTTCCTTTATAAATTACCCAGTCTTGAACATTCTTTATTAGCATCATGAGAACAGACTAATACACATGCCATCCCAAAATAGACCTGCTTTGTATATTGATTATTTCATGCAGAAAATATTGGAGAAACTACTTGTAGAAAAAGCTATCTGACCTGCCATTTCCTACAGCAAGCCATAAGAATTCCTTTAGGAGGGGTGTCTTTCCCCATACCAGGGGAGAAAAAAAAAAAAAAAAACCCTGATCACCAGGGAGGATATTGTTGCTGCTGTAGGCCTGATTAAACAAATTCCCTGAAGTAACCCTTATCTTCCACTAGCTTTACACCCCCAATATATCTCTTAGTGACATCCTTAGAACTTGCTGCTCCTAGCCTAGAGATCACTTTATCTTGCTATTTCTTCATGAATGTATCACTATTGGTCTACAAAGTATAAAATCATCTTGTTTTGGCTGTTCCTTCAGATGTTGCTCTGAAGGAATGTGAAGATCCCCATGAACATGTGAAATTAATAAAGCTTGTATGCTTTCTCTGATCAGTCTATGTTGCATCAATCTAGTTCCTACACACAGCCAAAGATCCCACATAAGAATTAATATAGGTAATGCAAGTTTTAACCTCCCCTACAATGGAATGAAGAATTTTAAGCTATAAAGAGCTGTGGAAGCACTACAGTCAAAATACTTCACTTTAGAGAAGAGGACACTAGTAGCTTAGAGGAAAAATTATATATCAGAAGCCACATCAAAACCTTTCATTTTCTAACCTACCAATGGATACATCTACTAATCCCAAACCACAGATAGATGCAGAAATCTGGGATGATGGCTTGCTGGGTACAGAACACATGAACTCAAGAATCAGAATTTTAGAACTGGGAAGAATCTTAAAAACCATTTTATTTAGTCTTGTTATAGAAAAAAGAAACAAGGTGTACAGGTTCTCCAGTTAATAACGGAGGCAAAAGTTGAATTCATGTCTCTTCCTTCCTTGAAGAATATTACACTAAATGGCTACTATATAGCAGGCATTTTGCTGGACACCAAGGATAAAACCGTAAATCAAACAGATATGGACACTACTTTCATGGAGCTTGGAGTCCAGCTCTAGATATTGGTAAAAAGAAACAAACAACAAAAATTCAATGCAGTAGATAAGGCATCTTCTTTGACAGTTCCCCCTTCCCTAAACCACCAAGTGTTGCTTGGTCTGGAGCCCTTCCTATCTCTATTCTTTCACCAACTGCTCTGATTCTTTCCATGCTTTCAAATGTCATCTTGATGTTGATGACTCCTGAAGGTGTGTCTCCAGCTGTGATTTTTCCTTTCAGCTTCCAACTCCTGTATTGAACTGTATCCTGAACATGTCAACTTTGATCATTAATCAATATTCCAAACTTAACACATTTAAAACCAAATGCTTAGTTTTCACACCCAAACTTCTCCTTTCTTGAGTCTTCTCCATCTTTTTTTGTTGGTTTTTTGTTTTGTTTTGTTTTTGAGACAGAGTTTCACTCTTGTTACCCAGTCTGGAGTGCAATGGCGCGATCTTGGCTCACCACAACCTCCACCTCCTAGGTTCAGGCAATTCTCCTGCCTCAGCCTCCTGAGTAGCTGGGATTACAGGCACGCGCCACCATGCCCAGCTAATTCTTTATATTTTTAGTAGAGACGGGGTTTCACCATGTTGACCAGGATGGTCTCGATCTCTTGACCTCGTGATCCACCCGCCTCAGCCTCCCAAAGTGCTGGGATTACAGGCTTGAGCCACCGCACCTGGCTATCTCATTAAGTGAGTATCCCCCTGTGTATCCAGCTGCTGAAACCTATTGAACAAGTAGGAGTTAGCCAATCAGAAGATTAGAAAGTAAGTGAGGACCTGCATTTGCAAAAATCCAAAAACAGAAGGAATATGATGTATTTAAGGAATGAGAAGCTCAACATGGCTTGAGTACAGAGTTCAAGGCAGAACGTGAAAAGAGATGAAGTTAGGAAGGTAAACAGAGCCCTGTAAGTCATGACGAAGAGTTTAGATTTATGTACCAAATCACAAGGAAACACTGAAGTGCTCTAAGCAACGCATAAGAGATTGACATTGCATTTTGAACACTCTGGCCACATTAAGGACAATCCAGAAAAAGAACAGGACTGATGGAAGAAAGTATAACTAGGAGGCTATTGCAGTAACTCTGGAAAAAGGGAATAATCATCTAAACCAAAGAAATGACAGTGTGGATGGAGAGAGGCAGAGACATCTGAGAGATATTACATAGATAAAGCCAACAAACCTGGAGGTTGTATAGTTAGGGTTGTGTTTCGTTTCATTTTCTGTTGATTATAACAGAAAACTTCAAACTGGGTAATGAAGAAATAAAATTTACTTCTTACAGTTCTGGAGGCTGAGAAGTCCAAGGTTGAGGGAACTTGTCTGGTGAGGACCTCCTTCCTAGTCTGCAGAGTCCCAAAGTGGCGAAGGAGATCACATGACAAGGGAGCTGAGTGTGCTAACTCAGATCTCTCTTCATCTTCTTATAAAGCTACCAGTTTTACTCCCGTGACGTGAATTCATGAATTAATTAATCCATTCATGAAAGCTGAACCTTCATGACCTTAAGGGCCATAACTCTCAATGCCGCCAACATTGGGATTAAATTTTAATAAGAGTTTTAGAGGGAAAAAATATTCAAACCATAGCAAATTGTATTTGGTGTCATGTAATAGAAGTAAATGGCACTGCAATGGCTCAACCATCTAAGAGTTTTAGTTTTCTTACATTACAAAAGTCTGGATGTACACTGTCCAAGAGTCTGTGTCTGCTCAAGGAAACCGTCAAAGATTAGGTTCTTCCTGGCTACCTGCTCTGTCTTCTAAAGCATGTGGCTCTTATCTTCATGGTTGAAAAATGGGTGTTCTATCTGTAGGCATTGTTTTTGCACTCAGGAAAGGAGATGGGAAAGAGGAAGACAAAAAGTTTGAGCCAGCTCAGTCTGTTATTTAAGGTCAAGAAAACAATAGGATTCTCAAAAATTCTAAGAGACTTCCACTCTTATCCAACTGGCTGATAGTGAGTTATATGATTACCCCTGGAGTCTAGATGGATGAGTATTTCTATTGGATTATATTACTGCCCTTAAACAAAACCAGTGTTCTGAGTAGGAACAAAAGAAATAATAGAAATTGGGTAGGTAATTGTCAATGTCTGCCATAGAGGCTGATTGAATTTGATGACAAGAAAGAATCAAGATTATTGCCCAGATTGGCTTAAGTGTTCTCACTCCCACAGCCACCACAGTAGGAAACGAAAGAGTAGGAGGAAGGGGAGAAAAAAGTTAGGGTGAAACATGGGTTCCACTTAGGACATGTTGAATGTGCACTATCTGTGGGACGATTACTTATAACAAGGATCTAGAGCTCATAAGAAAGTTCTGATGATATATGGTTGAAAGTACTGCATGTCTCATTCAAATATCTATGACCTTTCTACTGTATCCGGCTGATCTGGTAAGCTTCAAATCCTTACTCTTTAAAAACCTCTAGTCCCTTATGACTAGTACTTCAGTGATCTTCTCTGAAGTCATACAAACTTTTTAATTTATCCGTTAATACTGCATTTTATGTTGACCAGAATAGAAAGAAAATAGGATTTGCATAGCATCAAGCCAAGCAATTTTTATTTTATTTGCTAAAAATAAGAGTTTCCCCCTGCTGTTGGTGCGTTTTGCTTTCTCAAAATCATTCCTAAAAGGGAAAATAATGGCAAATGAGAATCACTAATCGCTTTCATTGGAGACTAACTGATGGGAGATATTCCAGCACTAAAAGAATAACATCTTTAGGCAGAGTTGACATCAGTTGAAATTTCTCAGCCTGGGACTGGACAGGAACATCTGGAATCCTACTAGAGCTCGCTAGCAAACCTGGGATCCAGCTGCTATGCAGTTAGACCACCTTTGTGTCCTAATCTCTGCATACTGCTTTTGGCTACTCCAATTAAGTAATTAGATTAGATTAGATCAATTAGATTGCCCCACTGGTTCAGATATTTGTAAGACTGTTTTACCTTACAATAGAACAGTCACTACATTTCTCATTTTAACCCAGTCCTTGTTGACTGGGAAGATTCGTTTTAAAACAAAACTCCCTGTAGAGAATTCAGAATAGACAAAACTTAAAATGAGCCATAGGAGGATGGTTCTATAATAGGAACTATAATAATACTGCATGATAACATTTTGAAGCAGCAAGACACGTCTGCTGAAGATTACCAGCATGGTAAACATGTGGCTTCTGTTGGAAATAAACGGATAAAACATTGTGTGACCCTGCTGGTGGGCAGAGGAATAGAGGTATCTTTCAAAATACATAAAACACTACAGTTTTTAATTGTAATCATTGAAGTGAATCACATTATCAAAGAACAGCCTGTAGAATTTCATGTTGACCAGAGTGAGGAAAGAAAGGCAGGAGATTTAAGCTCCCCTAGAAATATGCTCATATTTTCTCTGTTGCATTCTCTTTTTCTTTGCTTCTGCTAATTGTTTCAGCTTTTCTCAAGGTAACTGCCAGATCACAGCCTCCTACTCTTCAGATCTTAGTTGTAGACTCACTGTCCAAGTCAGGAAAGAAGGAAGTTATAAATGCTATTCACCAAATATTTCTGGCTTTCTGCCGTCCTGGCCATTTGTGATTTATGGGGCCATATAGGTAGTTTTGGCCTATGTGTTGTAAGCAAATCCATCTTACGCATTTCTGAGCCAGTATGAGATCCTGTTGCATTTCATTTAACTGTGTCAGTTTCTGACAACATTCAAGACGGTGGATCTCTGAGTGACCAAGATGGGCTGATCTCCCACTTCCCCAGCTCCATTCAAAATTCCGCAATAGAAATTTATCCCGAATGAGAACTAAGCCTTCACATTTAAAAACACTGAGGTTCAGGGTTGTTTGTTATCACAGGGTAATTTGGCCTATTTTTACAAATATAAAGAGCCATTTTCTCTATTTAGACTACTAAAGTATTGTTCAACATGTTTCTTCGAGTACTTTTTTAAAAACTTTAAGAGACCTAATTCAACAGAGAAAAAGAATAGTTATTAACAGTACTTAAAACATAACCTTAATTTGCACAGTTGTTAATATTAGCATCTGCTCATTTTTAATAATGACAACGATGCTACTTTGGTCTGTAAGGGGATTCTGTTCTTTTATTAACTCTTCTTTCTGATTTCAGAAGTAAAATATGTTTACTGATAAAAATATGAAAATACAAACAAGCAATAATACCTAAACTCAAGGATAACCACTATTAATTTTTTACAATTAAACTTCCAGTCTTTAAAGTAGGATTCACATTTGCAATTCTACTTTACTTAACAATATATTGTCAATATTTCTTTTTACCATTAAAGAACCTTATTAGTCATTTTAATAGGTGAATGGTATTCCATCACATTAATGCACAATGATCTGTTAAATTAATTCCCTACTGTTGAATACTTAATTGCTTCTACTTATTTTTTGCAAAATAATATTAGCCTACATCTATAATCATTTTCTCAAAACCAATTTTTGGAAATTTAACTGCTGTGTTAAATAGCACACAAAATTTACAGGCTTTTGATCTCGTTGCGAAATCACACTTCAGTAATATAAGTATACTTCATAGTCCATCCAGCATTATATAAGAATATGTATTTCTTATATTCCACTAACGTTGGAAATTCACCAGCATTGTCTCAAAGATGAAAATCAGTTTCAAATTTGTGTTCCAATTTTATGCATTCAAATCTATTCCTCTTTTGTTTTCTTTCTTTGTTAAAAATGTCTTTCCAACTCCAAAAATATATTTACCTGCATTTTGTTCTAGATCTTTTATTTTTAATTTGATAATATTTCTTTAAATAAGCCATCTGGGTTTTTGGTTCTCTGTTTGTGTAATACGAAAACCATAGTTAACTTCATTTGTTGTTTTACTAAGGAGCCATTTTTTTCCTAAGCCATCTAGCGGATAAACTTTTCATTCTCTGTGTATATTTGGGTCTGCTTCTTGGCTTGCATCAATTCCATAGTGTTTCAATTATCGAAATTTTCTCAGTATTTTTTTATCACCTAAACAAGCATACACAGGCAAGTGTGCATATACATGCACACACACACATTGAGGACAATCATTATTTTTTCTTTTTGAATAATCTTTCTATTCTTCAGAGTGTTTTAATGTCTAGAAATCTTGAGCATTTCATGTCAGGGGCAGCACCGGAGCTGGTGCAGGAAGATCTCTCTGGCAGTGAAGAAAGCTTCAGATGAATTCTGCAAGGCAGGCGATGTTATGATCAGGGCTGACAGATGGAACTTCTTCTCAAGGAAGTTTCAGTCTTTCTATCTAAAAAAAATATGTCTTTAGTTTCTTAATATCCACATGTGCTGTGAACAAGACACTGTCCCTGTCATTCCCATGTTAGAAAGGAATAAACAAAGAGGCAATTGCCATACATTGTGATGAACTGCTACAGTAGAAGTGAGTTCAGGGCTTGTGCCTGAGAACATGGACCTTTGACAATTCTGGCTTGGATAACCAGAAATATCCAGGTCACACTTTAAGATGCTACAGATAAGCTATAGTGAAAGCCTCTATCCCTTCTACAGAAAGGTCAGGATTTTCCAAACACAAGTCCTATAGCAAGGCGGCAGGTCTAGATTCTGAATGATGCCGGTTAACCATCCCCTGCAACCATTGATTTTATTAGGCATGCACCACTACAAAATATAAATACTAAATAATTTATGTAAAGCGTTTTTGTTGGAAATAGCATGCATGATTAATTTTGTCCTTGATGTGAGATGCAAGCTGAATTGTTTCTGTCTAATTGGCAGCTCCCTTCAACAGCTTATTTTCATTAGTAACCACTTGTCATTGCTTTTCTTGATGCAAAGTAAACATCATAATGATTCAGAATGTTTTTAGGCTTTGGATGAGATTTTCTGCTTCTGACTCCAAATAGAGACAATTTCATAGACAGCCCTGTAAGGACTATGAACTAGGACTGTGATAGTCACAAAGTGCTCAAACGACTAGTTCCCCTCAAGAGCTTATCAGAAATGCAGAAACCCAGACCCCAACCCAGACCTACTATATTAGAATTTTCACTGTGACAGGAAAAACCCCAATGATTGTGTGCACATAAAATATAAGAAGCTCTGACCCAGGAGACATGGGGGAAACTCAGAGCCCAAATATCTCTCTCCCCTCATCACCCCATCATGACATATTTGGGACTTAACCATTGCATGTGTGATGTTCGACACAAAGCGTTAAACCTAAGAAACAGTATTCTTTAAAGACCCACTTTCCAGTTTCACTTGAGCCAGTGTCTGCTCAAACACTGTTGTTAAGATGTCCCTTCAGGGCAGAAACCAACTAAGGTCAAATTCTGTTTTTAGTATAAAAAATTTAAAAGAAATGTTGAACATTGGGTATGTGCTTTAAAAAAAAAAAAAAAAAAAGGTTTGTTTGAGTTGTTTGAGTCTTTCAGGTAATAGAATAGTCTCCGGCTATGGGTAAAAATGTTATAGGAGATGAATATTAAGTAAATGGTATTCACACTGTAAGTGGGATGCTTTATGTGAGACACTTTTGCTTTCCTCTCATGTTTTCAGAATTCTAGAATTTCAAGGTTGACAGAGGCTTTGAAGATCTGGATCTCACTTCTACTTTCTACTCCATTTGAACACCTCTGATGATGGGGCACTCATTACCTATAGAAAGGCAGTCGATTGCATTTTATGGAAATACAAATGGTTAGAGAGCTCTTTTTCCTTTGACTTCAAAAACATACTTCTCTGTAGTTTATTTCCTGTGATCTGGGATCTTAGCCTTTGTAGACCATGAAATAACTTTATCCTCTTCTTCATAAACTAGTCTCTCAAAATCTGAAGCCACTTGTCACGTTTTCTCCTCTCCAAACTCAGCATATCTATGTACTGTAGATCATAAGGAGAAAGAAAGGAAAATTAACTACAATTCCCAATCAACAATTTCATACGGTTTTGACTTTTCTGGCCTGGCTGCTTTCCCCTGAGTGCACTTCCATTTCTGTCCAACTGTGTCCACATATTAACACTTTCATTCATTTATTCAACAAATATTTATTGAATCATTGACTGCTCATTGAAAGTGAGGCACTGGAGATATAGTAGTGAATATAATCAACAAAATTTGAGCTTTTGTGGAGTTTACATTCTAGCTGTAGAAATAAATAATAAAGTCAGGCGTGGTGGCTCACTCCTGTAATCTTAGCACTTTAGGACACCAAGGCAGGTGGATCATGAGGTCAGGAGATCAAGACCACCCTGGCTAACATGGTGAAACTCTGTCTCTACTAAAAATACAAAAAATTAGTCAGGCGTGATGGTGTGCACCTGCAGTCCCAACTACTCAGGAGGCTGAGGCAGGAGAACTGCTTGAACTGGGGAGGCAGAGGTTGCAATGAGCCAAGATTGCACCACTGCACTCCAGCCTAGGTGACAAAGTGAGACTCCATCACAAAAAAAAATTAAATAAATAAAAAGAAAGAAAAAAAGAATAAAAATTGCTATGGAGAAAAATAAAGCTGTGAAAAATGAATAAAGAATTGTTATTTCATGTAGAGTAACCATAAAAGCCAATAGTTGAGCAGAAACCTGAAGAAAATAACAAAGCAATCCATGTGGGTATGGGAAAGAACATTCCAGGGAGAGGAAACAGCAAGTGGAAAGACTCAAAGGAGAGAATACACATCGTGTGGTCTTGGGACAGCAAAGAAGCCACTGGAGCTGGCACTAAGTGACCTCAGAAGTGAGGAAGCAGGATCTGATTATACAGAGACCTGTAAACCATTGAAAGGACCTTAGAGCTTTTTCTCTGCATGAGATAGAAAGCCACTGGTATGTTATAAGCAAATGAACAACATAATCTGACTTAGTTCTAAATAACCCCTTCTGGCTACTGTGTAGAGAATAACTGGGCAGGGTGGAGAGGCAAAGAGGGATTGAAGGTTTGCAGGAAAAGCAAGGAGACCATTGAGGACAGTCTGACAATACACTGGGAATAAGACAGTGGCTTAGATGACAGTGGTAATGTTGGAGAGGGCTTATACTGCTTTGAGCCGAAGCCACTCCACAAGCAATCTTTCTGTTCTCAGTACTGATTTTCATGGGACTCTCATTCAATGTAACCTATAATCTTTGCAACTTAATGCAGGGAATACATGAATCCATAACTCCGTCAGACTCTAGTGATTTCTCCAAAGAAATGCTTGAGCTCTCACTTCCAGAACTCTCTCTCTGCCTGACCTAAAAATTCCTAGAATACTTCAAGTTCTTCCTGGATACTGTTCTAGCATCTGTTGATATGGATCTAAATTCATGTCATTTGCAACAGCCAGCCCAAAAGAGCAGACACTGGTAGGGTATTAATCATGTTTCCTCTGAACTCACAATTCTTGTGAACATTGAGTGCTTCCTAAGATGAGCACCTATGATTTTTCCCCTACTGGATTTAGAGGACTCAGCCCAGGAGTGGTGTAGGCCAGAGGGACAAGGAATATACTATACCCAGGGGCAGTCCTTTTAATGATGAAAGTTGAAGAATAATACCCCAGGCTACTTTATCCCTTGGGTGGAACCACACTGAGGCATGTTCTGTACTATCTCACAGAGGCTCTTGTCAGAAATTACCCATAGTTGCCCAAAGGGGTAACTGTGCTGTCTCTTTTTCCTTTTCCATTCTATTTCCTCATTCCTCCTCTAGTGTTTCTTGGCACTGTCTTTGAAATAAGTGATGTGATTAAGATCTTCATCTGCTTCTGGAAAAACCCAACCCAAGACAAGCAGTATAAATATAATAGTAGAGAGCCACTCCTCTTAATGCAGTGGGCAGACTCTTCTGAAGGCAGTGAGTTTTCTCCGTTAATTGTTCAGTCAGTTACAGATAAAACCCCTTGTTCTACTCTTTTCCCCATTTTCACTACTGCACTTGAATAGCATTTTAAGATTTTTTTAAAGAATATTATTAACAAAAGAGTAATTATTTGTCATTTTAAAGAGTGGAGAAGGAAATGACATAAGCAAGATAACAGAATAGAAAATCCAGGACGTTCCCTTTCCCCACAGAGAAACCAATTCAACAGCACATGGACCAATTTCCTTTGTAAGAAATCCAAAAATCTGAGAGGCCCCGGCACCCCAGGTCAGGGCAAAACCAACTGCATCAAAGTCAGTAAGAAAATTTGTGGCACCCACTTGCCACAATTCCTCACTTGCCATTGAATCCCATGGCTCAATGTAGTGCAATTCGGGGAAAACTGTCAACTCCTGGCTTTTCCTTGGAGAAAGCAAGAGAAGACTAAAATATCCATCCAATGTGCAGAATTTTTAGGTACTGCCTGAAGGACTGATTTCTGTCTCTCTTCTCTCAGAGTGCTGATGTGACCCAGCATCTGCAGATGACAGAAGGTCACTGCAAATGAAAAAGCAGTGAGTGGCTTGCTTAAAAGCCAGAGAACCTGAAATACCAACTAAGCAAACAATTAAGAGGTTCTGAAAAAAAGAAGGAAAACTGACAAATGCCTCTAATTGAGAATGTACATGAACAAATAGAAAAAAGATGCATCCACAGAAAAGGTTTGAGAGGCTTCCGGAATCTTTAGCCAGGCTGATTAGGAAAGGTCTTTCCCTGCCCAAAGCCATTCTATAAAGACTGGGAGAAATGACTGTTTTTTCTAATGTGCAAATCCCAGCACAAAGTTACAAGGCACATGAAAAAATAGGAAAGCATGGCCCAATCAAAGAATCAAAATAAATCTACAGAAACCAGCCCTAAAGAAATGAAAGGCTATAAGCTACTTGACAAAGAATAAAAAAATCACAGCCATAAAGATGCTTAGTGAGCTCAGGAAAAATGATACATAACCAAAATTAGAATATCAGCAAAAATAAAGGAAATATAAAAAAGAATCACATAGAAATTCTGGTGCTGAAAATTACAATAATTGAACTGAAATGTTTACTAAAGTGGTCCAACAGCAAACTTGATCAAGCAGAAGAAAAAAACATGAGTGAACTTAAAGAACGGTTGTTTGAAATTATCCAGTAAGAGGAAGAAAAAGACAAAAGAATTAAAAGCATGAAGAAAGCCTAGGAAACTTACAGATAACCAAGAAGAAATGCACAAATTCCTAAAAACATACAAGTATCAAGAGTGAATAATTAAAAAATAGAAAAATCTGAATGTACTAGTAATGAATAAGAAGATTGAATCCATATTCAAAAACCACCCAGAAAAGCAAAGCTCAAGAATAAAGGGTTTTACCAGTCAATTCTACCAAATTTTTAAAGAAGAATTAATGTCAACCTTTCTCAGACTCTTCCAAAAATTGAAAAGGAAGGAATACTTCCAAACTTATTTTATGAAGTCAACATTATCCTAATATCAAAGCCAGACAAAGACATTATAAAAAAAGGAAGCTGTAGGCCAATATCTCTGATAAATATAAATTTTTAGATCTTCAACAAAACACTACCAAACAGATTTGAACAACAAATTGAAACTATTATATATCACATTCAGGTGGGACTTATCCCTGGAATGCAAGCATGGCTTAATGTATGAATCTATCAATATTATAGGTCACACTGAGAGAAGAATAAAAATTATATGATCATCTCAATAGACACCAAAAAATGACAAAACAGGGGTCCAAAGTGGCTCCCGCCGGAGCTCATGGCGCTCGCGAAGGTGAGGTCATCAGTTCAAGGCTAACCTGAGCAACCTCATAAGCTCAAACTGATTGGCAAAAAAAAAAAAAAAAAAAAAATGACAAAATTCAGCACCATTTTACAATAAAAGCACTCAACAAACAACCAAGCTAGCACCAAACTCATAAGTGAAAAACTGAAAGCTTTTCTCTAAGATCAGAAATAATCCAAGGATGTCCAATCTCACCACTTACTTTTAATCGCCATGGAACTGGAAGCCCTAGCTAGATAAATTACTCAAGAAAAATAAACTTATTTAAGTAAAAAAAAAAAGAATAAGTAAAATTATCTCTGTTTGCAGATGATATGATCCTATATGTATAAAATCCTAAAGTTCTTTTAGTTTCTAAAACAAATCCTGTTGACTTACTAAACAAATTCAACAAGGTGGCAGGTTTCAAAATTAACATACAAAAAATAAGTTATGTTTCTATATCTAGAACTAATTAAAAAACATCCAAAAAAAAGATGTTAAGGGAAATAATCCCATTTATAGTAACATCAAAAAAATAGTTTGAAATAAATTTAACTAAGTTGACCAGAGACTTGTACACTGAATGCTACAAAACACTGGTGAACTAAATTAAAGAAGACACAAATAAATGAAAAGACATCTTATGTTCATAAATTGAAAAATTCAATACTGTTAAAATGTGCACATTACCCAGTGCAATCTATAGATTCAGTGTAACTCCTATCAAAATCCCATACTTTTTTACATAAATAGAAATAAAAATCCTAAAATCTGTAAGAAATCACAAAGGACCCCCAAAAAGCCAAAGCAACCATGAGAAAGAGCAAAGCTGAAAGTCTCATACTTCCTGACTTCAAATTATATTACAAAGCCACAGTAATCAAAACAGTATAGTACTGACATAGAGATGAACTTATAAATTAATAGAACAGGAGAGATAACCTAGAAATCAACCCATGCCCATTTAGTCAACTTATCTTCAACAAGGATGCCAAGAATATGTAATGGGGGAAGGATAATCTCTCCAACAGATGGTATTGGGAAAACTGCACATCTACTTGTAAAATAAAATTGAACCCTTATTTTACACCGTACACAAAATTCAACTCAAAATTAACTATAAAACTAAATGTAAAATATGAAACTATACAATAGCTACAAGTAAACATAAGAGAAAACATTATAACATTGTTTTTTCCATGATATCTTCAAT